GTGTCATTTAGCCCTATTCTCAGCCACCAGGGCGCGCCACTTTAGCGACACACTTTCCACATGAGTAAGAGTCGTTTCTATATGCATAAGAGTTGCTGAAGGTGTTTGATGAGTCGTGTACAAACTTATATATGTGGAATGAATGCCGCAAAAAACTTATTATTTTATTAAAAAATTAAAAAAAATTAACTAAGTTTAATTTTGTTCCTTACCCTTTGTTACGGTTCATCTCTCCCTGTGTGGTCCAACTGTGCCAAATTGGTGGTTCAACTATCCCGCACATTTCGGGTTAGTTGGACCACATAACGGTTTTTTATTTAATTTTTTTGTCAGCAAATGTGTCCGAGTTTTTGGTCTTTAGTTGTAGTTAGTTAAAATGTTGGTGACAACATTTTTTCTACGTCAATAAAGCTATTTTTTGTGAAGATAGAGGCGAATCAAGAAAGGTGGTTCATCTCGCCCGGAATTACTCTATTCCCAGCTGGAGAGTGTGATCGATCGAACGTAGTGGGGATCAGAAATGATTCTTACCCACTGGAATGGCAAACGAAATTCCCGAAGTCAGCCGCAAATTGTTGATACCAATTACATGTCCATCCAGATTGACTAGCGGGCCGCCAGAGTTGCCGAATGTAATACTCGCATCTGTTTGTATGTAAGTCATTGAGTAGTTCTTCAGGCCCAACTCCTCAGCGGGTCGATCCACACTACTGATCTAGAATTCAATGCACCGAAAACGCTCCCGAAATTAACTCAAAAGTAGTTACAATGCCGACAGTCACTGAATTGCTCAGCGACAAAGGACTGCCCAAAGCGACCACCCATTCCCCAATGGAGGTATCGCCAGTATCTCCAAACTGAAGAGTAGGCAGTTTTTCGTTTGCTTCCACCCTTAGAAGGGCCAGGTCAATGTTCATATCGGCGTCTTCAACCGTGACGTTGTAAGTCTTCCCATCGCGCATAATGGCTGTAATCGTACTCTGCGGTTTGTTGAGCACCACATGAGCATTGGTTAACGCCCATCCATCCTCACTGATAACAAAGCCCGAGCCGTTAGAGGTGACGAGCGGTTGGCCGGTTTCTGGATCTTTAATTTGGGGATCTCGCAGTTCCAAGTAGAAAACCGCACTGGCACATTCGTTGACCACTTTTTTGATAAAGTTGTATTGCTCCCTAAACAATTAGTCACTACTAAAAAATGCTTGAATTCAAGAAGTTTTAGGTTTGCGTGGTTTTCTTTGAGTTGCAAAATCCACTTGAACATGACGCTGCTTTTTTCGAAGTTTCTCAAGCACCATTCGAGCCACAGAATTCGTTTTGGCATCGTTGGATAGAGAATTGAAAACTCGATTCAGTCGTAACAACGTGAGTGAGGAAATTCGAGTAGTTTTGACGCAGAAAGCGAAATTTGCCTGAAATCACTTACCTGAGGTGTTCGTCTTTAAGGTCACCCTCGACGTTCGAAACTGGGCGCTGATTCATTAAATCAGAATGCGGAATAGCTCTTCGTGGAGGTTTTTTTGTCAAATGTAGCGAACTCGTTTCCTTATTGTAGCTGTTCTTGAGTATAAGATAGGAGGTCAAAAGGGCCGAAGCTATGCCCACAGTTCCATAAATGTTCGCTTTGTTGAGCGATTTGGGGGCGGTTTTGTTAGGACCGGATTTGTCACGAGAATACGGTCTTGTGGCGAGCGCTTTTTGAATGTTTTTTGTTAACAGACTGCAAGGGAATTTCAACATGTTTGCGTCACAATTGCAAACAATGCGTTTGAGTAGTTTTAACTGGAATTTTTGGCTTGGGGTTCCGAAAAGAATGGACTTAACTGAATGGGTTCAAAATGTCAATGACAAAGTGTCATCGCTAATCAAACTGAAAGCAGTATTTTTCTGCAAAATGTTAGCAGGTGAGTTTAAGCAGCCCTCTGGACTTTGTCGCTTAATGCGCACTGTTTCAGTCGGCAGCCAGTTGAGCAATTGGTGACGCGTAGAGCCAATACCACCTAGAGATTGGGGATTAGGCAATAGAGTAAGTAAAATTTTATTTTAAAAAATTATTTAACTTTCTCTATATCAGCCTTGTTCTATGCACATAACCATAGATGAAGACAAGAGCACATAACCCCCCCATAACTCTTTATCACAGATCACAGTAACCTCTGTGATATGTGTTCAATCATGTCATGAGCTTTAAACGTTATTTAATATTTTGGATAAGGATTTAAACTTGAATGAAACCCAGCCTGAAATCATCATGTTTCGGTCTTTGCTAGCCTCAGTTTTCCCTACGAAAACGAGCGTGCCAGTGTTAAATCGTTTGATTTGCCAGAAGTGTGGGAGCTCCAAAAGAACTGCCTTTCGGAGCTACAGCCAAGAGAATGGAAGAAAACCGAGCGAAGAAAGCAGGAAACGTATGAGATCCACTCTCTATTATATGACGGCGGCAGGGATTGTAACAGTCGGCATGAGCTATGCGGCCGTTCCACTATACAGGATGTTTTGCCAGGCCTACAGCTATGGGGGTACCACAGCTCAGGGCCACGACGGCTCTAAAGTAGAGACAATGAAATCCAACAAAACCAGAGCCATCAAAGTGAAGTTCAATGCTGATAAGGCCTCGAACATGAGGTGGAACTTTAAGCCCCAACAGAACGAGATAACTGTAAGTAGCCAACTAAAGCGACACACTTCGGAAACGTTGATTTGTAGGTGTACCCAGGAGAGACAGCTTTAGCCTTTTATACAGCTAGAAACCCCACTGATCAAAGTGTGGTGGGGATCAGCACCTACAACGTCATCCCCTTTGAAGCTGGCCAATATTTCAATAAAATCCAGTGCTTTTGCTTCGAGGAACAAATGCTCAATCCCCAGGAGCAGGTAATGGAACCACAGCCATCTGCAGCTGCCCAAGAACTTAATTTGGTTTTTGTTTCTTCAAGGTTGATATGCCGGTTTTCTTCTACATTGACCCAGAATTCGCAGAAGATCCATATCTGGAATTCTGCAACGAAATCATTCTATCCTACACATTCTTTGAAGCTAAGCCGGGTCTCAAATTTCCCGTACCCCAGTTCGCTAAAAGATAATATTAATTTTAATGACATAGTACCGTGTTTATTGTCGTTATCTATCTTATTAAAAACCTGTTGTTTTTAATCTTCTATTCTTTATCAGTTTTCCGAACAAAAATCAGAAAATACACTATAATTTGATTAAGACCCGCAGTCCTCAGCTAGTATTTGATGGTGGCCGTGATGGGGAACGATCTGCGTAACCCCATGCACTTTTCTCTGTCAATAAACAGAGAATTGCACTTGTTGTGAAGATCCTCCTCCAGGCTCGCTCTGGTTTTGAGCAACTGCTGATGCTGAGCCTCAGCTTCTTGCAGCTTTTTATGCAAGTACTCTATATTGTCTTGGAGGTCGCGCACCTCGTTCACCAACCTAAACAATGCCATAATTAGAGAAGATTTGTTTTGGTGCTTAATAATGACGAAATCATGAGATAAGATTGACTCGAGTTAAACTCACTTGTCCTGGGCGGTGTCTCTGCATAGCTCGATGTTCTTCCTGTGGGTGCGCGCCTCCAATCTAGTTTGGGCCACTTTCATTGGTGCGCTCTTATCTATAATGCCCTTCTTTAGTAGTTCAATGTTCTTCTCCAAGTCGAACAGCTCTTGCTGCACCTGAAACAACACCCGAATCAGCCTCTTCTGCGCTGGCTGTTCGCTATCATGCGACTATTGCCTTGTGTAGGTGGTTTTGCAGTTTGCTCTTGGTTTCCAAAGACTCCGCAGCTCTGCGAGCCAGTGCGTTGTTTGTGTTACTCCAGGCATCCCACACCTGGAAAGAATGCAACGTGGAATGTGATTTCTCTGTTTGGAGCATTGGGGTTTTACCTCTTGAGCACAGGTGTTGATCAGATTGTCTATGTCGGAGCGCATCTGAGACGAATGGCCGCGCTCAGACTGAGACTTTTGAACTATGCGGTTACTGTGCTCCGCCCACGTATGCGTGGTGCTCACCCTGAGTTTAAGAGTAAGCTGGGCCTAAATTCACTTAAACCGTAGCACTTACGTTGGATCGAACTTCTCAATCCCCCCGTAGTAGTTGATGCCTTTCGAGAAGTTGTTCAGCTGGTGGCAGATGTTGTCTATACCCAAAGCCCCTTCCTTACTAGTGACGTCGGTTTCTAACTCATGCTGAGCCGCTCTATTATTGCGCAACTGATCCCCAACCTGCAAATGGGGCATTGCTATATAATTACTTGCCTTTGATCCGGAGGTTTTTCGCATACCTTTGAAGCTAAACACTTCAACTTGGCTTGAGCGTTGCGATAGGTTTCAATTTCCTTCAGCAGGCATTGCTCGGGACTGTCATGCACCAATTCAACTCCTGCAAGATTGATTCGAGTGTGTTTTATTGATAATGATAATGAACTGACCGGTTCTCTTCTCTCTGTGATAGAGACATTCCTGTGCGATATGCAGAGGAGCCTCTATATCATTGATGGCCTTATCGATGTTGCGTTTGGCGTCTTGAAGCAAGCTGGTTTCAGTCAGAAGCCGCTCCAACTCAGTGCGGGCTTCGTTGCGCCAAAACGTTGTATCTGTAATTCGTTCGCCCAATCTGCGTCCCGACTCCCTCTGACCTTGTGCAGTTTTCTCATCAGTTTCCCTTCGTACACACACAAGGTCGATAACTGACCAACACCCTTCAAAGCCTGCAGTTACTTACCTCATGACTCTAATAAAATCTCCCCTGAGGCGCTCTGAGTAGTTCCGATTGGTGTCAGCTTCATTGTAGTGCCGCAAGTTACTCTGGGTCCATTCCAGCGGCGTGTACCGCGTGTATAAGGCAGCTCGAGCCGCATGAGCCGGGTTCCTCTCAAACCCCGTCACTAAATTGGGGAACTTTAGAGGCTCCGTAGCCATCCCATACGGAGTATAGCATGGATCGACCAAAGAGTTGGTAGCATGCTGACTAGGCCTGAAAGTGCGTGATTTTGAGTGCCGCGCTTCGCAACGGGCCCGAAGACGGCTTACAAGGGAGTCACTTCGACATTCTCATAGCCCAACGTGGGCCTCCAGGGGTGGGGCCTAGGGGTTTGGTAATATTGCCCGGTTCTGGTCGGCATTGGCGGCCCGGCGACTTGCTCCATGCACGGGGTCGCTGCCACGGTGCTCCATGGTTGGAGTTGCTAAAACCAAAGCATTTTACTTCCTTAATACGTCCCAATTTAATTTATAAAGCGTTTTACTGAGTAAAGAACTGTGTCGGCCATAAGGGATTTGACGTTGGAAAAAAACAGTAGCTAAATGTGTTGAATTTGACTGATGTCTGTCGCGGTAAAGGTATGCTGACTTGTTTAATTAAAAGTAATTTTCCTTGTTAATATAATTTTTGATAATCCAAGAGTTACTTATCAATATTCTTCGGGAACTTACTCGGTTGTATCTGCTCCTTCGCTCCTTCTCATGGCCAAAGATCATAGTTATATTAATTCTGTCACAAAAATCTTCAGAAAATAGTTTCTGAGCTAAAAAAATTATAGGACAATTGTTTCTTATGTAAAGTATAACTGATCTTTCCTGCAATTGGGCAAGCGATATTATTTAATCACAAACCTGGCTAGTTATAGGCGCTCTCTTGAGGTTCTCATCGTTGTACTTGCAACCACATGAATCCGGCCATAGTATCATTCAGTGCCAGGGTTGTTGACCCATATATTCCTGCGCTAATATTGATTGCTCTTCAGTAATTTCGAATAAATTTTGTTTGTTCGATTGCCGTATTCGACATTTGCGGTCCATCGCAGCCAAGAGTTTTAGGCGTCCTTGATGAACAAGTCCACCAATCGGGCTCCGGTCAGTCTCCAGTAGTAAGTCATCCAAATCTATATTAGAATCCGTTTAAAGTGTTTTTGAATTAGGTTGTGTTTGCTTTGTGTTTTTTATTAGGATTGTTCCTGTTACGCAATAACCAATTGAATTGAATTGAGTAAAAAACTATACTGTACTGAATTATACGTTTCTTGTTTGTCTTGTCTCTTCCACAAGGAATATTTTCCTGTTCAGTCCTGTATTTAAAATAATGAGTTCCATGATCGCGCTACACAATAAACAATTGCATTGAGTTGAATTGAATAAAAAAACTATACTATACTGAATTATAAGTTTCTTGTTTGTCTTGTCTTACCACAAGGAATATTTTCCGCACAAAATCAGTACTTCTCCACTTTCGAGGAAATCAACAACCTTTGTTGCCTAGAAACCGTCCCCGGTGACGTGCGTTTCCGGAAACACGTAAACCTGATCGACCAATCGCTGGTCGACTCTTTGAATACAAGACGTGCACCATGGCAACGAGTAAATACAAACACAGCAACTTTGAAATCAGAATTTGATGAAAAAAATTTGATTGAAATGTGCCGAAAATGTCTATTATTTCAGATCTGAAATTTCTACCATGCTTTTTAATGAGTTCCATGCATTGCTCGCGTCCGTGAGCTGAAAATGAGGTAAAATTTGAGACATTTTGAGAACATTTTTATTTTTTCATAAAATTAACCCCCACCCTTGGAAAAATTTCGTCCAAAAATTAAAATTTCACCCATTCGTCAATAATTAATTTCGTCCACAAGGAATATTTTCCGTATAAAATCAGTACTTTTCCACTTTCGAAGAAATCAACAAACTTTCTTGCCTAGAAACCGTCCCTGGTCTCGTGTTTTTCCGGATGCACATGTACGGACGAAGAAGAAGAAGTGACATTGTATTGTGAGGTTAGAAGATGTTTTGCCCTGTGGTTTTGCCTTAAAATAAATTGAAAGATTCAATAAAACAGGGAATAGTGAGTAGTCTGTGACGGAGAACAATGGAAGAGCATTTAACAGAAGTTATGTTCCGGATTTTCAACAACTGGACCGGCTTGAAAATGGCCGTGGATCATTCGATGGGAGGCCCCGACAGCAAAAAGGTACGATGTGCGTAGCTCAGATGTCCGGCCCTTTGATTGCAAACATGCCCTTTCAGGTTGCCCTCGAGTTTGCCAATTTCATGATTCAAACCTGTCTAAACACAGCATATGTCGATCGAGAGTCCGTACAAAATGATTTGGAGGTCATTCTGGATGAGGAGTTTGAAACAGTGTGCGAAGACGGTTCACCTAGGGAAATAGCAGAGCTGGTGTGGAGGTTCATCCTCATGCTGAGAGCAGGTGAATTATGCGCAGTGTGCCACTGGGAACCCGCCGTCTTCAACGGGATTTTGCGTTTGGTTAGGTAACATGGAGCAATTTCAAGAAGAGTTTGAAAAGCTGCCCCAAGTTCACACGCCATGGTTAACCCCAGTTCAAAATCCCCAAGCGTTCCGCTGTGCAGTGAAGGAGAGTGCAAGCAGCGAGTCGAGTTCAGCCAGCGAGGTGGAGGAGGACGACGGATGGGTGCAGGTGACCAGAAGAAAACGCTAGGGTAACCCACCAACACTCATGTAAACAGTCTGTATTCTTTATTACTAAAATTTATCCATTAAAGCTAAAAGAAAGTGAAGGTTCCCAAGGCTCTTTCCTATCTTCTGCTCGTTTTAGAGGTATAGGTAGATGTGTCTAACAGCCTGAGTCAGTTGATCAGTGGGCGCCTAGTCCGAGTCCTCTGGTTGGATTTGCAGCTCCACCTGCTTTCCCTGCCTTTGCACGGACATTCTCAGTTTGCTCGCAGTCTTTTGCCTGAGCAAGTCATAGACGTCCTGCGCCCCTTTGATTGGTTTGCCATCAATATGAGTGACTATGTCCCCCGGTTGGAGCCCACCTCTGAAAATACTTTGCCATAACGCCGATTGGCGGAATTACTGTTTTACCCACTGATGGGCCGGAGAGCCGATGATCACCTTCCACACCAAGACTCCCCCTTGAAAGTCGCGGGGCAAATAGTGCCCCTGCTTGTGCTCCAGCTCGTTGATCAGCTGAGGCGTCAGCGTGAACATTGTGATCCCCATGTAGAGCCTCTTGGGCGTATCGGGGTTTTTTTTCGGCCCTTTCGCGTTCTTCAGGAACGCCTTCACGTAGTCTATAGGGATCGCGAACGATATCCCTGCAAGGTATTCAACATAAACTTGCTTCAGTTCGTGACCTGTTAAGGGTACCTGGAGTGACTTTCATGCTATTAACGCCGATGGCTTCGCCATCGAGGTTAACCAGGGGCCCCCCTGAATTGCCGAAGGTGATGGCAGCATCCGTCTGGATATAAACCATGTCCTTTCCCGTGAGCCCCAGTTCATCGGCGCCTCTTTGCACCGAACTTACCACCCCTAAAAATGCGTTTCTAATTAGATTTTCTTGTGGAGTTAAATAGCTTTGCCTGTGGTGACAGTGTTGCTGAGCGCCAAGGGACTGCCGATGGCCACCACGAATTCGCCGGGCTTTAAATCGGCCGAGTTTCCCAGTTTCATGGTAGGTAAGTCGACAGCCGGAATGCGCACGGTAGCCAAGTCGCTTTTCAGGTCAATGTCTTCAACAACCCCAGTAAAAATGCGTCCATCCATCAGCTTCACCTGAACGACTTACAGGAGTGAAAAGGACTCGATTACGCATTAAAGGCGCGTCCATAAGCAGAAGTTCCTCCCTGATAAATCCCCGCAATTTATACCTCAACTTTCGCCGATTGCTTGTTGGTGACAACGTGGGCGTTGGTCACTATTAATCCATTCGATTCGATAATAAACCCCGAACCATTCGAAAGCGTCAAGGGGCGTCCGGTGAAGAAATCCACTCTCCTAAAAAACACCAGATATCCTGCCATTTCCCATGGGCATGTAATGCGCACCTGGAGTCCTTGATTTCAATGTACACAACAGCCGGGGCCGATTTCTCCACCACATCGGCGATGAAGTTGAACTGCTGTCTTCTGCCGGCCAATGGGGCCCCCTCGAATTTGGACGCGGCGCTCACTTGGGGCAGCACCCGGGCCCGCTCTTTCACTAGCTTATAGGTCAAATAGCCCGAGCAGAGCAGCACGAAAGCCCTGAATGTCCCGCTTTGGCTCGGTGCCTGTTTGGGCCCCGTTTTGCACAGCACAATCGGCCCCTGTTTAGGGGCTGCGGTATCGCAACGCGTCCCGAGTTTTGATAAGCGCACTGCGACATTACGGGCCAGTTTGGCGATTAATGACATTTAATTTTTGAATTTTGCAGTTTTTCAATGCCAAAAGGCCTTGGTTATGGTGATCGCTTGTATTGTGCGCGTCTCTCCAATAGACTGCGGTCGATTCTTCCTCTTAAACCCCTCATTGAAGCGGGATTATTTTACATTTAGAATGTTTTTAGCTTGTGCGCGTTAAGTTTGCTTGGTTTTTAAAACCAGTCATTTTGGAGGAAATTGAGTTTGGAGTTAAATGGCACTCATTCCGGAAAAGGGGGCAAATGAAATAAACAAGAAGCATTATATGTACGCATCTCTCTCCGGCAAAAATCTAGTGACAGGTGAGCGTAAACGTTTGTAGGTTACGTTGGTGGTAAATAATCAGGGGGCCCATTTATCGGAGTCCTGAGCTATAGGCCGCAATGTCTGAACGAAAAGTGCTGAACAAATACTACCCGCCGGATTTCGACCCGTCGAAGATCCCCCGGATGAAATTGCCGAAAAACCGCCAATACACTGTGCGATTGATGGCCCCATTTAACATGCGTTGCAAAACGTGCGGCGAGTACATCTACAAAGGCAAGAAGTTCAACGCGCGCAAAGAGGACGTGGAGAACGAAGACTACCTGGGCATCCGCATCTACCGCTTCTACATCAAGTGCACCAGATGCTTGCAGGAAATCTCCTTTAAAACAGACCCCAAGAACACCGACTACGAGATCGAGGCGGGCGCCACCAGGAACTTCATGGCGTTGAAACTGGCCGAGGAGCAGGCCCAGAAGGAGGAGGAAGAAGCCAAGGAGGAGGAGGCCAGCAACCCGATGAAACTCCTGGAGAACCGCACCAAACAGTCAAAGAACGAAATCGAGCTGCTGGAGTCCTTGGAGGAGCTCAAGGACCTGAACAAGCGACAGCAGGTGGTCGATTTTGAGACCATGCTCTCAGGCTTTGATTCCGGATTGACGCAGCGCGAACGAGAGGAGCGGCTGCAGCAACTGGACGAGGAATACATCAAAACTGTGAAGTTCAGCAACCCGACCAAGCGGAAACTGGTGGTGGAGGAGGAGGAAGTGGTGGTTGAGACGGAGGCGCTAGAAGCAACCAAGCGGCCCACCAGCAGTTGGAGTGTAACAGGAGCGAAAGCCCCAGCCACAACGAAAAAGCCGTTGATAGTGCGCCCTAAAAGCGCCAAAGACGATTCAAAAACGCCTTCGGGCGGGCTTGCCTTATTGGGGGCCTACTCGGGGTCGGACAGTGGCTCCGAAGGAGACACTGCCTGAGAAAAACCACTGTATGCTCTTAAATAAAGCCCTTTATTAGTATCAGTCGGAGGTCGGGGTTCTTAGTTAAAGGTATTAGTGGGGAAAAGCACCAAAGCCTGATTAGTTAGTTAGTAGTGGGCCAACACCGTTGCAAGTCCCCGATAGTGGAAAGTGCATCTACAGTTCTTTAGTCTACAAAGAGAAGAAATCAGTGGATATGAGGCGGAGATATGAGGCAATTCACATAGCCTTGGACGGACTACACCACTTTTACCTCAGTGGGGCCAAACTCCTTGCTGTCCCTGGCAGCGAACAGTTTCTCAGGTCCGACTAGCCGCAACGCCCTGTAAAAGCCCACGTTATCAAGGACCAAGGGGGTAGGAGTGACGGGGAAACCTACACTTTTAACAGAATGGGGAAGTAGACGCCGATGTAGACCATCGGAACCATTGGGAACCGGGCAATCCAGGCCTCGCTCACTTTGTTAGCGATCGCAACTGCATTCAGCTGTCCGCATCTTTGGGCGCTCATTCTCTTGTCTGTTGACCTTGTGGAACCATCCAACTTCTGCATGATTGAATTTAGTTATTAATCAAACGTGTGCAATCAGTAACTATTAGTTAGCTGGTTTTTCTTGGTGTGTATTTGACAGGCTTTGAAAAATCCAATTGAATCCACCAGTCCAGCCAGTCAGGTATAGTATGGGGCCATGCGTTTTACCTCGCCGTCTTTATCCGTGAAAGCCTCGCTCAGGAAGTTGGTGAAGACTGGGCCCGGACACAAGAGCGTAACGTGGATGTTCTTGCGGCTCTTCTCCACCCTGAGACTGTTCAAGTAGCCCTGCAGTGAACAGCCGTACGGGAACAGTTGAAAGTTGAAAGAGGAGCTCACTTACATGCAACGCGTGCTTGGAAGCGGTGTAGGAGGCTGAAAATGGCACGTCCAGAACGCCAGCCACACTGCTCACGACCACAACATGCCCTTGGCCCTTTTGGCTGAAGTGGGCCAGGGCCACTCTAGTCAAGTTGATGACCGCAAACACGTTCAGCTCAAACACTTGTCGGTCGACCGCCAAGTCTGTATCATCAAAGAGAGCCCTTTGCGACCTGCCTGCAATCGATCGCAATTAGGTCCCCATCCGGGCTTTGCCTGTACATACCTGCATTGTTCACCAGAACATCCACGGTCCCAAAGTGCCTCAAAGCATACTGAAAGTGCGCTTTGTGCGAGGCAAAATCCAGGACATCCATGGGGATGACCAGAACGTCCTTATCGGCAAGTTGCCCCAGAGAAACAGCTGAAATTCGTCTGGATATGGATGTCTGGAAAGGCTAGCCAGGACTCACCTAGGCATTGCTGCTTGACTCGCTGCAATTCCAAATTTCGGCGCGCTGTTAAAACCAGACGGACGCCGGCCTTGGCCAAAGCATAGGCCGTATGTTCACCGATTCCGCTCGAAGCCCCCGTTATAAAGGCCACTTTGCCCTTTAGACGCCCTAAAAATGTACCTTTTCAGAATCTCGCACCATCTAAACAAGCCGCTGAATTTCATCCAGCGTTCAAGACTAACGGGATTAAGATTCTCCCCATTTAGGGGTCTCCCTGTCATATTAAAAGGGCTTCTGAAATCCGCCTTTAATTTAATTCAATTTAATTTCGAAATCTTAGGGATCCCTACTTACTTGGAGATTTTCCAAACACTTCCAGAAAACCCAACTGGACGTCGCAATCGAAAATTGCCGTCGCCAGCGTGTAGAAGCACCCATACACCACCAGCCCTGCTCCGATTATGGAAAAAAACATGTTTTTGTCCTGGGAAATTATAACCAATTAGATGCTCATTAAAGGATTTAGCCAACTCATTCGAGTGCAACGGCAAACTGATAATTATGTATCTAAGGATAAACGGTGCGTTGGATCGTGCATGGTGTCCGCCAATCTACCTGATTAATTGTTGACCTGATTACGATGGAAAAATTCTGGAACGTAGCAGCAAGGTTTTTCACGCTATGTCCGATATTCAGATTCGGATCAATCGCCGTTTTCTGTTTATTTTCAGTCGTTTTTCACAGAACATACCGCCTGGGCGATATTTTGTGTCGTTTTTCTTACTTGTCTGAACAAAACCAGGTTTTTGCGAAAAATCCAGAACGTAGTTGACGTCTTGCTGACGACCATCCGTCCTTACCATCAACGTTGCCAGTTTGCCCACCAAGTTTAGGATATTTGTGCTAGGAACAAGCGACATCCCAAGAGCTGCCAAGCTTTGTCCAATGCCAATCATAGATAAAGACAAGTTACAAGATACCAATTGTCTTTATCTAGAATACGACCCTGGCATTCTTATGATACGGCCCCCGGGAGGTCTCAGAAGGAAATGTATCCATTTTATCTAGACTCGCTAAAATTGCAGATCTAAAAAAGCATTTTCAGGAACTACAAGTTCATGCACAAAATCACGTCTTTTTCACTAGTTTTACCATAAAAAAAGACAAGGGCAAATCTCAGTCCAATCTGACGTGAGTAGCATAGAACAAGCTTATGAGTAGTTCACAGATTATCCAAATAACTGGAGTAGTCTGTGGCAATAGTATGTATTCTGTGGTCTGTGGTAACCACAGAACACCCCTGGGGGGATATTTTGTGGTGGTAACCATAGAGAAAGTAAAATATTTTACTTATTTACTTACTCTATGGTGGTAACAGCTCTAACTTGAAAACGTTCTCAAATGGCAGCAGCCGAAATTTTCGAGAGTCTGTGCCTTAAATTGGACAAACTGCTTTGTGGCACCAACCAAGCGAAGAGCGAGGCCGTTTTCCCGACTTTGGACCAGCTAAATTGCTTGAACTTTAGCGTGCCCACCATTTTCAATGAAGTTGTAAGTGGCCGAAACACACAAAAGTGCAGCTGGATCTAACGAGTTTCGCTCCTTTGCAGAAAGCCTGCCGGCTGATCCACCAGTTCTGCACCTCCTTGGACCACACTGATGAGCGCTTAACGCAGTTATGCATGCAGCTGATCACTAAACTGATTGTCCTTCAACACATTCCGGTTGATGGCACAACATTGAACTTGAGCGTCCGGGTTTGTTGAGCTGGTTTTCATGTTTTAGCCAGTTGACTGATATCGGTTGCTTTGCAGTGGTGCTTGCAGGCAGCCACCAGCCCCAATAAGGCCCTAGTTCTTGACGCTCTGCTTGCCTTAGAGGCCTTAGTTAGGAAAAATGGGCACAACATCCCATGGGTAGGTGTTTGATGTCACTGCTGACTCTTCTACTCATACTCTTCATTGCATGTTTCAGCTGCTGGATTTAATTGTGCAACACGCCAAGGAAGTAATTGAGTGCGACGGATCCACACAACCCCAGGAACTTTTACTGGTGGCAGTTTACAAGTGCCTGGAAGCCTCCACTGACATTCCCTCCGACATCGAGCCCTCTGAAAGTTTGGATCAGCACTTTGCAGACTGCCAGACAATCTTCATCTCGCACTTGTGCAATAATCCCGCAATTAACAGTTCAGTGGCTGCCAACAAAGTGAGTGTCACTGTTATAGGGCTCATGAAGGTTCGGCTGCTAATCGAAAGCCTTTCTCAGCTCGCAGAAACGTGCCTACAGGGTCTGAACAACCTGGTGCACATCCAGGCGGCGTCACTCCAACAGGAACTGGGATTAATTCTAGGCATAGTAAGGTCCTACATGGTGTGCGGGATTAAAGGTATCGAGTTTTCCCAGCCGGTGAAACTCACCCCCACCGTACTGAACCTGCCGCAAAAGAACCAGAAATCGGCCGAGACCACAGGGGGCGCAAAGCCGAGGCGTCGAAAGTACCGCTTCACGAAAAAGAAGGAAAAAAAGGTCGATAATGAAGTGCGTTTTGTGGTCAGCAGCGATCGCTACAATCCAGCTACAATCCGCTTGGATTACAACTCGGACCTGGGCATGGCGAAGTACTGCCCATCTTTAGAATCTGGGTTTATTAACGGCGCTGGTATTATTTCAGCTTCTCTGGCATGGGCTTGACTACATCCGATTCGGATTTTTCGGACGCCAATGATGCCAGAAGAGTCAATTTGGGGCACAGCTGCAGTTGCGTGCGGCAAGCCGCCTTGGCCCTCTTTTGCAGCATAATTAAGGTGATTTTTTCGTTCCATCTATGCGGATGAATTATGAATGGTTGCTTTCAGCACGAAGATGCAGCTACTGTTTTCACCTACTGGTCGAGTTTTATGCCCGAAAGCGCCACTGCAGACAAGCACAATTTGCTGTCTTGTTGTCTGCTCGATCCCACCAGTAAAGGTAAAGTGTGTGCGTTGAATGTGCTGCTGGGACTGATCACTCGCAGCAAGACCTACTTGGCATCAGCTGAATCAAAGTAAGCGTCGCAGCTGCCTCAAAAGCCTTGGTACTGTAGCTGACCGTTTCAGGGAGAAAACAGCCAGTTTCACGTCGTTCAGCGCTATGCTCGGCCTTACATTGATCGAGCTGAACGCCAAGCTCTGCCTTTCCTTATCCGACAGGTCAGTGGGCGTGCTCACTCACGCCCTCAAGTGCTTGGCAGTATTAGCGCAGAACACACCTTATCATCGGATGGCGCCTGGCCTGATCACCAAGATAGTGCGAAACGTCAAGCCTCTGGTTTCTTTTAGAGGTAAGCGCGAGTAGAGCAAACACCGCAATGTGATTCACCGCAAACTTCCTATGCAGATCATCGAGTTCAGGTGACTGCGCTGGTGGTGCTGGGCAGTCTTCTAATGAACGAGCCGCCCCTTCCCGAGACCCAGCGAGCAATTTTCAAGCTGGAAAAAGAACCGGAAGCTCGGCCTGAACGCCCATCGCTTCCCGCTGAAGATGAGGAATATTTCGCCCAGTTTTCCTCAGATGAAGAGGAGCCGGAGGCGGGCACAAGCGACGACAGCATGTCGTGGCTTCTGCACAAGTGCCTCAGAAATTTGGGCGTGATGTTTGATAATGTAGGCCCCATTCGCACTGAACCCGCCCCCAGCGGTTCACCCATTCTGTTCTAGGCTCCGGCTAAATTGCCGGTCCTGCCAGTCCAGCTGGAAGCGCTGCAGGTTTTGAGCGCGATGAGTAGAAACTACTTCGAGACGATGATGCTGATGCATCTGAACCACATAGTTCGAGCTCTGGAGATGAGCTTGGCATGCCAGAACGAGGAAGTGGCGCTTCATGCAGCCCGCCTCATCGAATTTTTAGGCGACGCCATGGGGAAAGTCGGCGAAGCTGCAGGTATTTCCCCCTGCCAAACTCCAATCCTACCTTTGTGCTATTGGTGCTGTTGTAGGGACGTCGCAGTGCCTCACTTTCTGGCCAACGTTGCTCAATTGCTCCGAGAAGAGGCTGTTTCAGAGCGAGAATCCCGTATTGCGAGCGGTGGGCTGCGATTGTCTGGCCAGCATTTGTGAGTAATTATCGAAAACACCCGGCTCTTGCGTTCGCGGTTGACTATATGCTTGCCTGATGCGCAAAACACTCGGGTGGGCATGTTTTTGGCGCTCACCTAAGAGCCACCCACCACCACAAACTCTATTAGTTTCTTAACTGCCCAACTTAGCGCCTTGGATTTGGAAGCATCTTCCCAGGAACAAACAAGTGCTGTGCATCATGTTGCTGTTCGACTGCAGCAAAGATGAGCAAGGCGCTGTTAGAGTGAGTCCATTGCAGTTCAGTGGCTTACCTCAAAATCACTGCGGTTCATTGCTTTAGAGTGCCGCCGCTCGGGCGTTGTCGGTCTGCACCCTCCACCAGTCCCTTCAGGAAGATGAGGGTTTTATTGTCGACGCCACTTTGGCGATTCTGGAGAATTTCCAAGACACCCACCCGATAGGGCGATTGAAGACATCATGGTCTTTGGGCTGTCTGAGCGATTCCCTCGTTCTGATCCAGTGGGTGAACCAATTCCAGCATTGTCTTCCAGATAAATTAACCGGGTTGTTTCAGCAGCGCGGGACAAGGTGGCATTCCTGATGCGATTTTGCTGAGATTGCTGCGGGCCAGTGTGGAGGGCCTGAGCGATAGAAACTACAAAGTCCAGTCGAACGTAGGCAGGACGCTAGGGAATCTGCTGCAGCTGCTGGATGAGAAGCGGCTTGAAGACCCACAGATTCAAAAGGTTGGAGGACAGGCGATTGAGGCCCTAGTGCAGACCTGCGGGACGTCTGGGACGCAGTCCAAGGTAGTGAATGCGTCGGGAATAGTAACGCGATTTAATGCCCTGATTAGGCTAGATGGAACGCCTGCTATGCCCTGGCGAACGCGCTGCAAAATCCCGCACTGTTTGAACGAGTAGGAGCTACAAATTGGCAGGGGACCGTCTTTTCCACCCTCGGTGGCCTAGTGGTGGGGTGCAAGAACTTCAAGGTAACTTCCAGGAGGGCATTTAGCTAGAGCTATTTTAACGGCGTGCAATAGGTGCGAATCAACGCCGCCCTGGCGCTATCGGCGCCCAGAAAGCGCGAGCATTACGGCACCTCTTTCATCCCCCTCTGGGCCGCCCTGCTGCAGGCTCTGGATCAATCCCAGACCATTGAGGATCTGGCTGAGTACAAGCACCGCGACCAATTGGTGGAACAGGTACCCCCACCTTGCAGGCTACCAGGGTTGCACCCGCTTTTTCCAGATCTGTTTGTGCTTAGGGCATCTGGCCACCCTGCTGCAGAAGGTGGATCTGTCGCCACTGGAGGACCGGCTTGCGCCTGCCGCTGATATGCTCCAAATGCAAGTGCGCCGCGTTCTGGATCGCCTGGTGCCCGAAAAATCCGGCGATTTGGTAGCGGCCACTTCCGCCATCAGCGTATTGGAGTCCAACGGCAATATTTACAGTGCGGCGGAACAGCGTGTGCTTGCCTGTTTGAAGACTGTGTTTGTGACTCAGTAAGTGGCCTTCTTATTATTGTGATTGTCTCTTTAATACGATGAAGCAACGTGCTGATTTAGTTGGAAGGAATTTGTAGTCATTATCAGTTCCAGGTACCCGAAAACTATTAAATCAGTGCTTTATTGTTAAGGCAAATAGGCAGGCGTCTTCCTTAACTTATCTCCACAAGCTTGCCCCATTCGGGCCCCGTCCTTGCTCTCCTTAAATCTACATTTTCAGTCAATATCACTTGGGCGCATTCACGGTCGAATAGGCCATTTTCTTGCGCGATGCGCCCGTGGGTTTCCCTTTGCCATCCGCTCCCGCCTCATTATCCGAACTAGAAAAGAACGAGGCCAACTTAGAGGCCTCCTACTGGCTAGCAGCGAGTTTTAATTACCAGCTGAGATTCCTTGCTTTGCCGCTGGCGCCCTCGCTTTCGGAAGCGCTTTTGCTTTTCCGTCGCTGACGACTAGGCTGGATCAAAAACTGGCTTAACTGGTGGTAGCGATGCTCCCAAAACAGGTTCTGTCGCTGAGCCACATCGGCGTGCCTCGACAGGAAGTTTTGATCGGTTGGCAGACTCAGTTCCCATCCCTGAAACGTTATATTTTCAATGAGCGCTCCAGCTCTCCTCTGTTACAGAGCAATTATTATACCTTGTTATGGGTCTGCAACTGAGCCATCCCGGCTAAAATCTCCTTCACCTCCTCTGTGGGAAGCCTAAGGAGAGATGAGACTTTGGTGCGTTCCACGTACTGATGTTTAGTGAACAGGTACAACTAAGAGCAAAAGGAGGACATTTAGAGCATCACTGCTGGTTGGGGATGGAAAGGGCTTACGATGTAGTCTCTGGCTCGACACATCAGCTCTGCTGGGACTCCACTAGTGGCGGAGAAAGTGTTTTCGGGATAGAGCACCTCGGACTTGACCACCCAGTTGCCTCTGACCAGAACGCCGACTTTCTGCAAGTTCTTCAGCAAGGCGTCGGCAGTGACGCCTTCGCCTCCAGCCAATAGCAGCATGATCTGGTGGAACTGAATGACATGGGCGTCTTTGAGCAGCAGACGGCACTGCTCCTGCAGCGGCAGCCCTCTGAGCGCGTGCAGCGACAGCACGTGGCTGGGGAGCTGCAGTAAGTACCCCCTTATTAAATCCTATCCCCATTTTCCAAGAGATGTTCTTACCATCATCGGTTCGCGTGGGGTCTCCTCCTGATCCTCAGGCACCAACACCTTGATGTATTCATCTTTGGTCAAGTTCTGAGCCTGGCCCAAGTCATCCGTGGTGTCTGCAATGAGTTTCAGTCGTTCCACGTTGCTGGCCGTACTGTCCTGGTCGTGCCAAGTGCAGGGCAGCCAAGCCTCCTCGTTCCTCCGGGCCTGCAGGTCTTTGTAGCTCAAGTTCGACGAGCCTTTCTTAGTTGGATCGTCCACGTGCTTGAATCGCACAGTCACCGGCTCGGCGTGGCTCGGTCCGGGCTTTTCGTCATCTGAGTCATTATTCAGCACTTCCTTTTTCTTCTTCAGCCCTTTGTCCAAGTAGGGGTAGAATGATCGCATTTGGAATATTTCTGAGAGGGCCGTCAGATGGATTTCACTGCCATTGTAGGCGGCTATCGCATAGTTTTCGCCCTCCTTCACGCTCCTGCTTGATTTCATGTAAACTGTGTCGGCGGTCTCGTTCTCAAAGTAGACCTTTTTGTTGGGTTTTTTCGCGCTTAAGTCTCCGTCTATTTCATGGGCGATCAAGTCGGCTCTAGCTAAAATAGGAAGATCGATTTAGGCAAAGTTTCGGACACTCGACCCAATTTCTGACTCTTGTGGCCAATGGCGATGACCTATAATGGTTTCCACAGGTCTGTTACACTGGCAATACCTGAATCAAAGTTGGAACAGTCTATGCCGATCCCAATTTGAAGTTCAACTTCCTTATTTTCCGGTCGAAGTTTGCACTTCTGCACATTGATCTCGTCAGCATCGGATGGTTGGAAGAGTGGGAACTGGAACAGGTACAGCTTGTCCTCGAGTTTCTTCGAGTGGAAGATGGGAATCTAGAAAGGCGAAACACTCATTAGATGGACAGGGCTGATGCAAAAGCACATGGTAGCCCTAAACTAGCCTACAAATGCCCCAGTGTCCCACATTTTGACTCACCTCTTTCACCACAGGATCATCCTCGTCTTCAGAACTGCTCTCCACAATTGGTACGTTTTTGAGACCACCTTCAGCCATGTGGGTGATTTGAAAGGATCAGAAACTGATTAAAAACAGTATGAAAAACATCAACAGGCAACGACAAGTAAGAAGAAGACGTCATAGATAAAGATAAGTAAAGGATTGGCGTAAAGCGGCTAAAGTCCGCCAGGGGGCCGAGTGAAGTTAGCTGAATCTTATGGGTACGTTTCCTCCGAGCTCAGCCCGACTGGTTGATTTCGTTTACCTTACATCCAGGAGTTTTTTAGGTGGCATAACTTTTATTAAAACGCTTGACTCTTAAGCTGCAGCTTATGGCTCGAAAAAAATCAGGCTTGCTGATAAAATTGCGCGCTTTTAAAGCGCGTTTCCCATTCAATAAACCTCAGGAAAAATCACTTTGGTAACTGTCTATGAAGTTCGGAGCTCTTCACCGTAATTTTCGGCCACAAAATTATAAATTTTAAGTCTCCCCTAACAGCAGAGACAAGGGAGAAACGCTCCCTTGTCTCTGCAGATCTAGCAGACGCCCAGCTGGATGCAAAGGCGCCCTTACGAACGCCGGCGCTTTTTGTCGGCGTCGCGACGCCGACGCTCCGGCAATCAGCTGACTGCGTTTCGTTCGCGACTCAACAGGTCGGCATGGCTTAGAGCCTGGTTTCTCGCGGCCCCCCAGATGCCCTTACGCAAAGGCCCCCTTAGCCGGGCCCCGTGCAGGCCTGCAAGCGACCCTTTGACGGCCTGTCTGGATGCAGACGGCACCTACATTTGCACCGCCTTTAATCCACGCTGCTACATCATCCAGAAGGTGTGTACCATATGTTTACCTTTTGCATCCAGTCGTTTGCGTTCGAACGGTCGCTTTTTCCTTCCAATTGCTGTCTGATGTGTATGCCTGCTAACTAATGCCTGGGCTCCCTCTGGGGCTGCCCATTATCTGGTTAGGCCTGCGCTTAAAAATCGGGGCTGATTGGCTGTTTGCGGCGGGTTGAGCGAATCAGGCTTTAGGGCTGTGCGGTCTTGAGCAAACGCCTGGCTTGTTTACTTGGGTGGCATGGGGGGCCCATTTGAATGGATGGGTGTAGGCGGTAAACGCCACTGATTATGGGTAGATCGATAGTACAGCTTCGTGAAGCGCGGGCGGCATAGATGGGGCGCTGCACTGACTGTCAATCGATCCCCAGTTGCCCTCAATTGTTTCAGAGCTAAAAATCAGTGCGGCATTTTTTATAACATATAGTTAACCGTACGCAACACACTTATAATTGCTGCAACGCCTAAATTAGGTAACCTAGTTCCTAGTTTTAAACGCAAATGAGAAATTGCTATACTAAAATTCCGCGGGTTGAAGCCACGACCAAGCCAACGCATTGTTCAGCCCTCGTATTTCGGAATTGTGCAACAAGGTTAGCATGGTGTTTGCGTCAGATTATATCGGCGTCTCGCTCTAACTCAACCGCCAAAGGCCGCCCAAACAATCGCGCCTGTTACAGGGGACAACCGATACCGAGAATGTACGCCGGCAACGGAATTTATTAGTTTTATTTTGCTGCTCTTTCGGAAAAAGGAAGCAAGCGGCCGTCGTTGGATAAACTGGCGATCAGACTGATGTGATCAAGAAAGAGCTGAATTTTTATGTTTGACGTGAAAACTAGCAACTAGTGCGCTATTTACGGCTCTATTTCGCAATGGCAAATAGAGCTTTGCATCTCAAGCGGTTTGCTAGCTATGAGCCCAATATCAAGGGCGGTTTTTAGCGTTAGCGTCAAGCGCCCCGAATTTTTACATTTAGACAACTAGAAACATTCCTAAATTGGGACTGTCGAAATTATTTTATTTTCGTTGTTTGTCCCGTCTTTAAAAATATCTTAATTCAAAAAATCTGTTTGCAGAAACAGTCCTCAAGTGCTGGAAGATTTAGACACTAATTGAGTAAAAATTGAAAAATTCAAAGTAAATGAAAAAGCTGACAAAAAACAGTTCGAACCTAAACCGTATAAGCTAAGTTTTACTTGCACAAATCGTTGTTATCTGCCCTGTCTCCTAGTGGATCTCACTCTCCCATAGGAGATCGTCCATAGGCTGTCCCACTCAGAGAACTCAGTAGTTTCAACAAAAACCCTTTCAACTTCTAAAACTTTCGCGAGCTGAAATTAGTGAACATTTTCTAATCGACCCCAGGAATTAATTGCATGTGGATATTTAAAAAAATTATAGTAAACTGGTGGTTGTTGATAATTAGGTGAATCCCCCTGGTGCACCGCCCCTGGCCCTACCATCGACTTCCAGTGCCTTGAACAACGATGTGAACCTGGAGACGCATAATTGGGAGAATTGCCAGCCCGACTACCCCTGTCCACACTCCAACGAAGGTAAGTTTCTCCGCAAGTTTCCCAGGCAGATTCAAACTTCCCGCAAAAACGGACATTGAATGCGCAGCGCGGTACTAGATGGCGCTGGCCAAACATCAAATGCATTATTTTCGTTCGACAGTTTACTAGATTTGTGTGGCATGTGCCCCTGCGACAGCCATTTTGCCAGTGCGGAGTGAAATTGTGTCGAATTTTGCAAAAGTACTGAACAGCGGTAAGCCCTAATTATTTCTTCATTGTGTAAAGGGAATCGGGTGACGGGGACACGTAGTGCCCAGTTCCGTGCGGTTCCGGTGGCAGGGCCAAAAAACTGTCAACGAAAACATCTGCGGCGACCAATCTGTACCCTCTGCCACCCGTAGAACAGCTCGTTCCATGGAAGCCGCTTAATCGGGCACATGTTTTCCGGCCCCAAAACCACTTGAAACGCCTCAATTCTCTCGTAACACTCGTGCGGTTGGTGGGTCGATTTGGGCGATGCGTGTAGGGCTGCGCCCCAGCCCTTTGGTACTCGCTGCGCGGTTTTAACTGGCCGCCCTTTGGGGCTCTGCTGGAGTTTCCTGGGCAACTGTAGGTTTTTTGGCGTCCCCCCACATCGCCCCCAGAGAGGGCGAAACCTGCCCACTGGCCGATCGCTTATCGCCCCCCAGGCTGTGCAACCGGGCAGCCCCCTTCAACCCCGGGGGCCCTCCTCAATAGGCCATTGAATGGCTATGACCTTGACGTAAAATATTACACCCATCACTTTTCCGAAATATAAGGTTAGGTTCCACTTCTGCTGCAACTATCACCACCTTTATTACCATGCATGGTATGTACAATGTTTTATAATATTTAAATTTATCTGTTCGCTGTGCTCGTGTAACTTTCACTCGTGGCCTTTTTTCGACACGCATTTCTTGTTCGCAAATTACCACAACAACAAGGCGAGAACAGCCAGCAAAAAAACCAACATTTGGCTGAATGATTTGACACATTTGGGCTGTGCTGATTACTCTACGATTGTTGTTGTTGTTTGTTGCTGATGGTTCCTCGCTCGTGGTTGTTCCATATTGATCCCATATTGATTCGGCCTTGTTTCATTACGTAACCGGGCGAATTCTGCACATTATTCGTTCAGCCCACAACAACAGGGTTATGTGGCTGATAGTGTCATAAGTACTTATAATGGGAAAAACCAGAAACCGTTTCAAGCTGTTGCAAGTTTCCAGCCAGGTCCATTTTTTCGAAGAAGCTCAAAGAGTGCGTTTTCTACCTCGATCTGCCCATTGAATCCCATTTTCTAGCGATCGAACCCCATCTATCACTCAAATGGGATAAAGACAACCTAGTTACCATGGCAGCGGCTATGTTGCTCTCACTTCGTTGTATTGTTGGCCATATTGGGCTTGATGCACCAGAGCTAGAGGGTGCGCTCAAAATTTTTATGCAAAAACAAAACTGAGTTAGTACTTTGAGGCCTGGATTTGCTTTGTTTCAAATAGTGCCGCTACTGTTTGGTGTTTCAAGTTCAAATGGACATTTTTGGCGTTTGTCGACGCAATCCTTTAATTTCTGAATGTTCTCTGCTAAGATTACGACTGTTGAAATTAGTTTGGGTTGGGTTGGCTAAAAATGCCCAAATGGGAATTTTCTTTGGTAATCGTTCAGGTTTTTCTGGGGATTTCTGAGGGTTTTGGCTCGCGATCATAAAATAGTACTCACTTTGAAGTTTATCCCGTTCCTAGCACTTTCTTTGAAATTGAAAAAAGCTGTTTTCGCCCACATTTACAATGTTTTTCTCCGGAAAATATGCTTGACCAACCAATGGAAGTACACAAAACAAACGTCGTTGAACGAGTGATGGGGCCACATCTATCTGTTTTTCTTAGGCTCATTTTGCCGCTATTTCCGTTTTTTGTTAGTTTGGGTTGATTTAGGTTAGAATAGTTAAATTGCTGGTAAATTTTTAGTAATTCAAACGACTCCCAAGGTAAAAGCTGTTGGAATTTAGCGTCTTTTGAGGCTCGAGCGGCAACCTGGAAGGAGTCCTTTTGCATACCCAGTGATGTTCACCGGCGTCAGTCTTTATCTATGTGGTAAAACCACCCTCAAGATGACCAAATATGGGGAACTCGTGGGGCTGAGAACTTGCAACATCAAATGGCTTTTGCTTTAATCAGCCAGATTTCCATAGTTGCGTTGAGTGAAAAGCGAGTTGAGCGATTTTAAAACCGCGGATTTTTGCTTTTTCCCAAATGGAATCTTTTGTAATCGCTTCTGTAAAGGCCTGGGAACAGGTAAACTTTCCTGACGCACTTGAAGGTGACATGGGTGATTGTGATTTGTTTTGTTCTAATCAACTTTGCAAGTTTTTAAAGAAATAGAATCAGTTCGAAAAGTGTGTAAGTATTGTTTTATGTTATAAGTCTGACGTCTCAACTGTCACTCGACAACGGGTAATTTGACGTTTTGCGAATTGTTCGCTCGCTTGTTGACACGATGACAAGCAGAGCCGAGCGGCAGTCGGGTTAATTCGTATGGGGCGCTTTGCCTACGAGGTACTATCAGAGGTAATTAACGGAGAGTTTAGGCTATAACAATGTCCTTAAATGGATATTTAATGTGCTTATCGATTAGCTAATCGACTCCCCATTCCGCCTAATTAATAAAATATCGTTATCGGAGGCGATCGGTTGGAACTTGATCTGTGAGTCATTGCGAGTCAACATGGGCCAATCGAATTCTTTGGCCAAAAGCCTCAATTTTGTGCAGTACTTTGGGTGGGCAACTCAGGTAGAAATTGCATTCATGTGTAGGGAAAAGGTGCATTAGTGCAGTTAGGTCTATTGATCAGTTCCGGGAAATGCGAGCTGAAAGTCCCAGTAGTAGGTAGATTTTTCTGGTGCCAATTTCAATAATTCAAGTTTTTATATAGTTTTTTGATATTTTACGTGTCATTTCTTTTACAGGCTACGTGTACATGAATGGGGACATCGGCAAAAGCAATTCGGGGGCGGCGTTCATGGGCGCCGTCCCTGAATCTTCGGGTGGGCCGCTGTCGGGAGCCCCCGGAGCTGCGCACGTGCCCCATCACCACCACCAGCCCCATCTTGACTACAGTCTAACAACAGCTGCCGGACCTTCTGCCGTACGTACCCATTTAAGGGCCAAGCTGTAACATTTACCTATAATCTCTAAACGTTGATCAGGTAAACATCCCCATAGCAAATGGGGTTGTAGATGGTGCGGACGGGTCAACAATGAGTTCTGCCGAAGGAGGGGCGCCACCCCATGCTGCCCAGACTCTTACCTATCCCTTGCCTCAGCTGAAGCAGATGCTGTCCCAGCAATTGGAATACTATTTTTCCAGGTAGGAGAACCTTGCTAGTTCCCGTCTGCGTAACAGAATAGACCGAAAATGGGCTCCTGCGATTGGCCTGCCTTGCAACAAGGGCGCAGTAATCATAACAAATTGTTGCCTGCATAGAGGGCTAGTGGTTCTTGCCTTGAGAAGGGCCCGAAAAAGGGTCGGGACGTTGGCCATTTTTAGAGCATTAAAGGAGTTTTTAATTGAGTCCCAAGCCCGCCATCCAGGCATTTTTTTAAATCGGCAAAGGCACCACTACCAAAGGGTAATTAGTCTTTGCCAATGCTACGAAAAAAATAAGTAAATAACATTAAAAGTGGGGTTATAGTGAACCTCAGGCACCCCCAGGGCCGGTTTTGAGCCTATTAGCTCTGATCAGCTGGGTGAAAAGGCAGCCTGAAATTAGCGATTCAGTCATTGGAGCCGATTTTCGGCCTATTCTGTAACGCTGAGGAAAGTTCCATACGCTTCCCGTTTAGTTGCTTTAGTAATTCTTGCCGATTTGCTTTACAGAGAAAATCTGGCAAACGATGCCTACTTGCTGTCGCAGATGGACAACGACCAGTACGTTCCCATATGGACGGTGGCCAATTTTAATCAAGTGAAAAAGCTGACCAAGGACATCAAGCTCATTACCGAAGTGCTGCGAGAGTCGCCCAATGTGCAGGTGGACGAGGAGGGCCTCAAAGTGCGCCCCAATCACAAGCGTTGCATCGTCATACTGCGCGAGATTCCTGATAATACTCCTCTGGACGACGTTAAGGTGGTGCCTTGTCGACTATTCAATAGCGTTGCGATTGCTGATTTTTGCGCAAATTTCCAGAATTTGTTCTCCGGAGAGAATTGCCCCAAGTTGATCTCCTGCGAGTTTGCTCACAATAGCTCATGGTACGTCACTTTTGAATCGGATGACGACGCCCAGAAGGCCTATCGTTTCCTGCGCGAAGAAGTCAGGCTGTTTCAAGTAAGGCAACCATTAATATCTATGTTGGAATAGTCAGTCAATAGTTCGTGCGATGCGATTCAGTGTCGCGTTTACTTTAGGGACTTTTTTTCGGGGAAACTTTTGCATTCATGTGTCTTTTGTTGTAGGGACGGCCTATAATGGCGCGCATCAAAGCCAAGACGACATGCCGACCGCCATTGCCGCACGCCATTGTTCCAGCGCCCGCTAAAAACGGATTCCGGGCTACGCCCCCGCCTCAAGCTGTCTTTGATCCGGGCGCATACCCGCCCGGGCAGCAGCGCTTCGTGTACACAAATGGGGCGCCCGGCCAGCCGCAAATGCCTGCCGCTGCCGCCGCCCCTTACAGCCAACTGGTTTATGTGAGATTCCGCCCGAAATTCGATGTGGACTTGTCGTGATTGATTCCCGTTTTAGGGTGGTTTCCAGCAGCAGTTTCCCAATAATTACGTGGCAGCGTGGTCGCCGTCCGCCACCGGTTTCTTCGATATAAGCAGCGTGTTCCAGGTGAATGGGCTGGCGCCACAGCAGTTCAAGCATCAAAACTACCGGGGCTCGCAGGGCCGGCCCCGCAACAAGCAGCGTCCAGCCATCCAATCGCAACAACAACAATCAAACAACGAACAACAGGTAAGCGGCTGGCTGGGATTTTGGTTTGGGTTTTATGTTGCGTGTACTCTTGCAGGGTCAGCCACATGGCAGTCAACCGGCGCGGGTGTCGTCCAGCCTGATGGGTGGCGTGCCTCATCGCCCCAGCTCTCCGAACTACGGATATATGGGCCAGGTGCCCAACAGCACCCACCATCCGCAGCAGCGCTTCAGCTCCTTAGGTAGTCTCGTCAACTCGTCAACATTCAACAGGACCAGCTCGAGAATGTCGGGCCATGAAGGCCCCACCCGGCCGCCCACTCCAGAACCGCCGGAATACCTCGAGCTGTCTGATTCCACTGGTCGCTACATTGCCGCCCCTTCGGCTTTGGGTAGGCACGATCACTGGTTGCAAAGTCGCTTGCTTAAACGGTGGTTGATCTATAGGAATGGCCCCAACGATACATCCGGACTCACTGGCTGTGGCGGACCTTTATCAGTTCGGCGCCCCGGCGCCGTTCATCTACCATCGTCCCACTGCGGAGGTTTTGCCGCCGCGGCATCGCAACCGCAAAAAGCGCGACGAGGACGTGCCCGCTCTGACTAATGGCGCTGCTGCTTCGACTGCGCCCTCTCACCACGCCAATGGGGCCAACACTGCGCCCACATCAACCCCAGTCGCAGCCAACGGCTCCAAGTCGCAATTCGATCTAGTTGATGCTGCCTTTCCTCCGCTACCTGGTCAGTTCTCTTCTATTTCCATGAGCGTTTCTTATTCCATGTGTCAATCGACAGGTTTGGAGGCCAGTAACGGACCGCTGCCCACTAAGCCCGCGCAGCACTTCAGCAATCACAGTGGGCCCACGTATAGCAACCCCACCTCGCACCATTTCCCACCAGCCGGCCAGTCAAAAGCCGAGGGGTCCACTCAGACTGTGGAAGTGGCGCCAGCGGCCACATGGGGCGAAAGTCGCCTGGCTGATGTGGTCAAGGGCGTGGCCAAAGCGAAGGGCGCTGCGCCCAAGACGGAAACTGCGCCTAAGGAGGAGAGCGACGTTGTGTCGCCGCGCAGCGTTTCACCGCAAAGAGATGCCAAGACAGAGGAGCCTGTCAGCACTGAAGTAGTGTCAACTCCGCCCAGTTCCCCTCATAGGTAAGTGCAGTACAAGCCAAAATTACTGTTCGTTTTGAGTGAACATAAGTTCTATATTGTTGAGGCGGATTCATTTTTTTACAAATTTCTTTTTGGGTATTTCGTCTGAAAAATTTTTGTCTTTAAAAAAGACAGAATTTCCTCACGTCTTTTATTACAGATTGATAAATAGTGCTCCTATTTCGCAATA